GCACATTTAAATTAAACTGAAGGAAATTATAAATTTACATGCTTAAGGATTATTTCACCCAAACATGAAGTGTGCCTGTGTGGAAAGTGTTCTTCTTGGGTCTTTCACAAAAACGAGTGAGCGCCATTTAAAAAAATTAAAATAGGCCCTATATAATATGCACGATATGCATGATATTTGTAGGGCCCTATGAAATCCGTTTTATTTTTCCTAAATTAGCCTAAGTTTTATTTTTTCCAAAATCTTTTTTTCCGAAACATGAATCTATCTTATATTCCAATGAAAATTAAAGAAAGCCTTTAATTTTTGTACATTCAAAATGCTACACAACAGATGTTTACTGTGTAACGAGCAATGTCACGGAATTCGTCAACTATTGAATGAATAAATCAAATGCAATTCAGTACACTTCAATCAAAACGCAATATGGACTAGTGTATGTGAATATTAAATGGCAAAAATACTATTAAGCTACTACAGACGACAACCGCGAGCGTTGCCCGTGCTTAAATAGCACAGACGGTTGTCGTGGTAATGAACACCACAGCAACCACTTGCGCGTCCGCACTGAACTCACATCTCGCATATAAAAAGCATTTTAGGGGGCCCTTTGCTTTTGGGGGCCTAAGGCGGTCACCTACCTTTGCCTAATGGTTAAGTCCGCCTCTGCCATATACCACACCATGTTACAACACAGTAGGGCTATTGCAAACAGAAACATTACTGTACTACATCGATGTTTCCTGTCGGCTCAATTTTTGAGTGGACTTTGCTGTTCCGATGAGCATGAATGGTATACGAGTGGAGCGACTGAGCGGAGCACACACGCATAGAGCGGTATAATACGCAGAGCGTCACACCACGTGAAAGTGAAACCTGAGCGGTGAACTAATTTTCGGCAGCCGAAATTTCGGCGCATCTCTAATTATTGGCGATATCAGAAATGGATATTATATAATATATGTTTTTTTGAACATGTTAGCAATTTAAAAATATCAAAAAATGATTTTTTTTTACATGGCACCCCTGTTCCCTTTCAGTCAGTCACGTTCTACGTTACGTCAGTCGTGACTGACGAATTGGGATCTCTCCCACCCCTGGTTGGGAAACACTGGTTTAGAGCATTAAAAATAATGTAAAAAGAGTAGAGGACATCGGGACTCAATTTCTTTAAAAAAATAAAAAGACATGAATGAACATACATAGGCAAAAACAATAGATTTTTAAAATCACCAATACATTTTTAGTTTTTAAGATTTTTTTTTTTTTATCAAACTTTGTATAAAGATGATTCTCAACTATGTTATAACAGAATTATTCAATATAATATTTTTCTTTCTGCAAAATGTGTGTAAAATGGCCATAAACATGTTTTCTCATTATATACAATGTATCTATAAACTAAATTGCATATTAATGTGTTTTTGTGACAACATGTAATGAAAAAACAAGTGTAATAATTGGAGTATTAATTGACAAGATTTTCATAATAATATATAATATTTCATCGTATATAGAAATATAATTTCTTTCCCTATTCATTTGTTGTGTCTCCCAAAATGCGTAATAAACATGCTTTTAGTTCCGGTGTCCTCATACGAGGACATGTATGAAATCAACGTCCTGTTTCGTAACAGAAAGTCATATTTTGATTTGAAACCCCATAACATTTTCTGTTTATGACACACAGTTTAAAAATTAGTCTGATTTAAATGACAATTACAAAATATGATCATATTTCCATAAGAGTGTCACTAAATTAATTTCAGACATTTTTGAAGACCAAGGAGAGGGAGTGGTCATGGTGAAACATCCAAACATTTAGTATCTCTGAAAAGCCCTGAATGTGCTCCGTACAGGACATCCTAAAACTTAAAACTGTGGCATGTACAGTCTCAGAGAAATTCACAAAAATATAATGTCCTCATATGAGGCTGCAGGGTCTTAAGAGGATAATATGATACATGTGTGAGTGCATGTATGAAGAGATCAAACTATCAGTGTAAATTATGACATTTTGAAATTTGTGCATTATGTAAGGTGCACAGTCAGAGTTGGTTTATGAATGTCTGTCAATATAAAATTGGAAAACAGCATGAGTTGTGAAATATTTTGAGCATAAGATCTCTCTTTCTAGTAAATAATTGGTGCATTTTTATTTTTTTACAGACATAAACTGCTGACAACGATTACAGGAACAAGCAAGTTCAGCTTTCACTCAGCATAATGCAAAGAGTTAAAGGACATTAAAGGTTTTTGCAGCTTTAAGATCGCCTAATGAAGGGTTCAAAAACCTTTAGGCCTATAGCCCAGAGTTCAACCTACTGTGTCACACCATCTACAGCCACAACATTCAACATTCAAGTGTTGTAAATTGTTGTAGTAGTTCAAAGCACTTTGTTACTGCAGGTACAGCAACACTTGTTTTTATTAGAGTTACTACTCAAGACAAAGGATATTTTTAAAGACATTTATGCTTCCACATTCTTCATAAGTTATGACCATGTAATATTCAATAAGAAATTTTCATTTTTTAAATTCATAATCAAAATACTTTTTACAGCTGTTTTGTAACAGTGTAGAATAATGTTATGAAATATATTAGTCAAATTCATTCACCTTCAGTGTGTCCAGAGTGGATGTTTGAAATCAGCACTAAAAACACAAAAATCTCATTACAGTGTCAACATGGAGCTGATAATATATATTATACATCAGATATAATTTATTCTTCTTTCTTTGCTTGTGAAACACCACACTTTTACTCTCAAATATTTCTCAGCTTCACAACACAAAAATGTTATTTCTCCAAAGGTTTCTAAGGTTTTCTAATTTGAAGATTTACACAAGTTAATCACAGGTGTTTCCAGATAAGCACTGACAAATCTGTTTGATATTTTATCATTTTCATCATCAAAGCAGAGAGAACTTGAACTTATTTAGGGAACTTGTTTAAGGAAGCAACCAGTGTGTTCACAAGCAGATGGATGAATTATGAATCTTCCTTCATACTTACTAGTGAATATTTACTTAAAGCATCAGACAGTAAACTGTGCAAAAGCAACCAAACAGAACTGATTCTACAAACATCTTTAAACAGCACAAATTCCAATGACTGAACAGAGAGAGACTGACATAGAACACTCAATTTATCTTTTACAAACAGCACTAACTTTCTCTTCCTCTCTCAAGCTCATCTTTCACTCATATAACATGGCCTAGAGCTGGATTTGAAACTCAGAGCAACAAGAAAATATATAAATAAGGAACACAAAATTACTTGCTCCTTTATATAATATAAAATCCATTATCATCCATTTAACTATATTCAGATAAAATAATACTCACAGAGCACAAGAGGAAGTTCCATACTGACTGAATGATGACAGACGGTTAAAGACACAGACTGTGTTAAAGCCTCAAAACTTCCTGAAACCTGCAGTCAGATCTTTAGGAACACCGTGACAGAAGTTTAATGAACAAGGAAACTCAAACAATACTTTGATCTTTATTGTAATTATAATATTACCTGTATTTATAAAAGGACCAGGTGCCTCATTTATCAACAGTGCATATGCACAGATGTGTGCATAATGAGTGCGTAAGAACAGTTTCACGCAGAGTGTGGGATCTACCAACTTGTACTTATATGTAGAAATGTGTGTAAATATAAGCACACCTCTCAGCATGCTTATGCAGAGAATCTAATGGTAGAGCAGCGACGCTACACATAAAAAGCATTTAAGAGTGTCACAGTATGCATTAAGCAATCCACATATGTCCTGTTGTCACGAATCCGGTCCATGAACTTCCGTCTGCTCGTCACCAGATGTCACCCTTCCACTACTATGGACTCTTGGTATTGTAATAGTACTCTATGGTACTATTGCACTTCACCCGGACTACAGTTCCCATCATCCATTGCACTGATTACACACACAAAGCACTGATGGCATACAGCTGTCATCAATCACACCTTCCCTATATAACACTTAAGCTGCATCCGAAATCGCATACTTCCATACTATATAGTAGGCGAAAAACAATATGCGCGGCGAGTAGTATGTCCGAATTCATAGTATTTGAAAAACAGTAGGCGAGAAGTACCCGGATGACCTACTACTTTCGCCCGAATTCCGTAGCATGCATACGATGGACACTTTACTATCCCATGAGGCCACGGGAC